GAGAAGAACTGGTGTAACAATACTGTTTGGGGACATTTAATGGTGAAGAGAAGAGATGATAGTTAAAAAAATAAATATGTAAAAACATGGAAGAGCATGCATAAAAAATAAAGATTATTGGTGACAAAAATGTCCAGGGGTGTAGAGGAATGGCAGTATGACCACAGAAGGTTTGCTCTAAAAAACACAGGGGGGCACCTGGGGGGCTCAGTGGTTAAGGTCTGCCTTTGGCTCAGGTCACGATCCTGGGTCCTGGGACCCAGTCGTGTATTGTGCATTGAATAGTTTGCTTCTCACTCTCCCTGTCTCTCTCCCCATCACTCATTTTCTCTCTCTCTCTCTCTCTCTCTCTCTCTCTCTCTAATAAATAAATAAATAAATTTTTTAAAAAGACACAGGAAAAGGAAAAGATAAAAAAAGACTAAGCATTTTTCCATCCAGATACAAACCTTTTGTATGATCACTGGAGACTCCTCAAATTTAGGTGACTGCGGATTTGTGAGTTCTTAAACTGCATTGAAAATAGGTGCCTTCCTGTTGAACTTTTAGTCTATAAAGAGAATGTTAGCTTATTATCAGGGTGGTGGATATTTTTTCCCAATAGCCAGAGTGCTGGTATTCAGTTCCTCAGCCCTGGGAAACTGAATTCCTACCTCGACAAGGGGAGCTGAGTGGGGTCGGGGTGTTTATGCTTCCCTTCAGGTGTCACCAGTAATGGGCCACCGCTCTCCAATGACCATCGTCTCCCTGCCCTTGGCTGGTCACTTGGCAATCAGGACTCTCCGAGATTCCCGACGCAGTACTGGGGAGCTGGTGGTCTTTGAGATCCCCCTTCAGCCCCTGCCCCCCTCACAGCCCCAGCAGCCCCTCCCCTGTGGTCCTGTCCCCCCCCCACCTGAGTGCACATGCCCCCAGCAGCAGTCAGTGCCCCCCCCCCCCGCTGCGCAGCCCACTGTGTATGGGATTTCTGCAGCTCCCCAGGTGGATCTGGGGGGGGGGGGACTTGGTGCAGCACAGAGCTTAAAGGAACCCACAGGCCTTCCCCGCTTCTTCCTCCTCCCCTGCCGTTTCCTCCTCCTTCCTCCTCCCCTTCCTCCCCACCATCCCTTTCTTCATCCCTTCCACCTCGGGCTTTGAGACCCTGTAACCTTTACTGAAAGAAAAGTAAAAGGCTTTAGTAGTGAGATTTGAGAACCTTGTGACCTAATAGGACATTTTCTCCCTTTCGGTAAAGGCAATCCTGTTCTTTTTTTTTTTTTTTTTCCCTCCACTCCTAGCATGAGCCCAACACCTGAGCTTGAACCCTGAGATCAAGAGTCCTGTTGCTTAGCAGATGGAGCCACCAGGTTCCCGAGGCAATTCTGTTCTTGAACTTACAGAGTTGTCCAACTCCTGAGGGAGTTACACCCCCATTCAGGGCGATAGTTTCTGAGTGGTTAGAATGCAATTACACTCCAAGGTTAACGTATTTAAATACTACATGCACATCCTAGTATGGATAGTTTTCCTCTCTTTAAGTTCCTAAACTCTGTAAAATATCCAAGCTTTCCCCTTGTTATATTTTTAAATTTTGTGTTTGTGGGACCTTAAATTTTTACAAATTATATACTCCTTTAAAAAAAAAATCTTAAATTTTGGGACACCTGGGTGGCTCAGTCAGTTGAGAGAACAACTCTTGATTTCAGCCCCAGTGGTGATCCCAGGGTCATGGGATGGAGCCCTGAGTGCATAGCCTGCTTAAGAGTCTCTCTCCCTCTGCTCCCCCTAAAGAAAATAAATAAAATATTAATTTTAATTAAAATATTAATTAAAAGTCTTAAATTTTTCTTGATTACAATAATAATGCTACTTGTAGAAGTCGAAAGCCCTCTATAATCTTACCCTACCCCTCTGTCCACTCCAGATAACAGTTTAGTGTATATTTTCCCATATTTCCATAATTACTTCCCATGTAGGTATGCATTGTTCTAAAAAATCCATCCAGAAATATTTCTAAAATCCATCATTTTCCAAAAGGCTAGCTCCAGGGAATGGTACATGGGCTTATCCAAGATTTTAACAACTTTTTATATTTTGAGGTGGAGTAACCTGAGATTTATGGTATTTTATTCAAGTACACTTGGTTTCCTTGATTTATTTAATAACCTGGAGTGACTAAGGGCTTTTAGTCATTGTTTTAATCACTAATCACATACTGTGTCTTCCTTCTTGCCTCATATCCTTAACCACATCCTTATCCAAATATTCTGATTACTACATTCTAAAAAGTAATATCACAAAATAAATAAATAATAAAAAAATAAGAAGTAGTATCACAACATACTTAAGAGAACTGGTTGTTTTTTTTTTTTTTATATGTTGTTGTTTTTGTTCCTGTTTGCATCATGGTGAGTCTGCTTGTGAAGATTTTCCCAGCAAATAATCCATCACCAGGATTACTCATGGACTCTAGTATTCCAAATGTCATCTCTTCTTTTAAGTGTCCTTATTTTGAAATATCTGTGGCTCTTTTGAATAAAGCAAAAAATATAAATGAATGAATATCATAACAGAGAAACTCTTTCTTTTTATAAGTCATTAGAAGAGGGGATCCCTGGGTGGCTCAGTGGTTTAGCGCCTGCCTTCAGCCCAGGGCATGATCCTGGAGTCCCGGGATTGAATCCCACGTCGGGCTCCCTCCATGGAGCCTGCTTCTCCCTCTGCCTGTGTCTCTGCCTCTCTCTTTTTCTATGTCTCTCATGAATAAATAAATTTAAAAAATCTTTTTTAAAAAATTCATTAGAAGAATATCCTTTATGGGATGCCTGGGTGGCTCAGTGGTTGAGCATCTGCCTTTGGCTCAGGGCAGGATCCTGGGGTCCCAGAATCGAGTCCCACGTTGGGCTCCCTCCATGGAGCCTGCTTCTCCCTCTGCCTATGTCTCTGCCCTTCTCTCTGTGTCTTTCATGAATAAATAAATATTTTTTTAAATCCTTTATTTAACTGTGCCTAATGCTTTGGGATATTCCAGTGAACATGCTTTTTAAGGACAATGGATTATGTACTATATTTTAGCCCTGAAGTTTTGAGGTATTCCTTTGAATTGAATGAATTTTGTTTTGTTTTTCTGTAGTCCAGAAAAATTCTATCTTTATTTTAAGTTACCTTAAAATTTTAACATGCAAATTTTACTTAGCTAAATCTAAATTTCATCAATAGTGATAACTTCTGAACAATATGAAGACTTTATAAAATGCATTCATTCTGATTTCCCCTTCTGACTTACTTGCTATTTTAACTCTGTTTACATTAAACCCACAAATTAGACATCATCAGCTTGTTTAGATTTTCTCACATTCACCATTTTGTTTGCTAATCATCCCTTCTTGGTTTCAGAGCTTCTGGAAACAAATCCTGTCATTTTGGACTGGTTGACAGTCTCCAGGACAATCAGATAGTTGCCTCGAAGAAAATGAGAAGAGTCCTGGGAAATATGCCCCCCCTCCCCAACAGTGCTGCCTCCTGTGCCCCCAGGACTAGAGGCATCCCTGTGTATTTCCCTCCCTTTCTCTAGTTAGCAAGTTTTATGGAGTAGAGAGAACCAGGACATCTGATAGAATACTAAAGTTAAATACATCCAATTTGAAGAGCTGTCGTGTTTTTCTGAGATCATATTCTTCTTACCATTTTTGCTGTTATAATCTTTATTTTAGGGGTGCCCGGGCAGCTAAGTCGGTTAAGCGTCTAACTCGATTTCAGCTCAGTTCATGATCTCAAGGTTGGGAGATTGAGCCCCAAGTTGGGCTCCACACTGGGCGTGGAGCCTGCTAAGTTTCTCTCTCTCTCTGTGCTCTGCCCCCCCTTAAAAAAAGATTATCTTTATTTTATAATATAATGATGATGGTAGTGGAAGTTTGGGATTTTTTTAATTAGTTAAGCTTTATTTAAAAATTTGTTTTACTTGGCAAAAACAACATTGCTAATCACAACCCAGATTTTTTGAAATTTTATGGACCTTGAAATCCCAAGCTACTGCCGTAGACAACTACGTGTAATTTTAAATGTGGGTATTGGGTTGCCTGAAAACATGTCCTCTTGGTTACATCAGGGTCCTTAATGGTTTTTCAGGTGTATACAAATCTTACAGTGTTAACAGTACTTTCCAGCCTTTAGTTGGGTTATCAGGCAGTCCTTAGGACTCTCCCAACAGTTGAAATTGTTTTTTACATAAGTCTGGGTCTGTACTAGCAAAACCATGCACATCTCACGTATATGTGGTGATACTAATGCTCTCAATTTTTTTTTTAAGATTTTATTTATTTAAGAGAGAGAGTGGGTGGGAGGGAGAGGGAAAGAGAAACTGAAGGAGACTCCTCACTGAGCTTAGAGCCCAACGCAGGACTCAGTCCCATGACTGTGAGATCATGACCTGAGCCAAAACCAAGAGTCGGATACTTAACCGACTGAGCCATCCAGGCGCCCCGATACTCCCAATTTTCTTAAGAACACCATTTTGAGAGTCATATGATCTAATATTTGGCCAATAACTTTGTGTCTCTTTACTCATAAAAAGTTGGACTGTGATCCCTAAGTTTCCTTTCACCACTAATGTAGGTTGTAATTGTAGTATTGATGCCGCCAGCCTGGTAGTTGTTCTTTCCTCATCTCCCTGTGAATGGTGGATGTTAAGTCTACACAGAATGACTTGAGTTCTCATTTCCCCTTTGTGAAGAATGGTCATGTATAAATACAGCCACATCGTTTATTGCAAAGGGTCAAAGGATTCTTATTTTTAAATTGTCGTATGTGTGACACTGACAGATGTTCACTCATTACTATCTATAATGTAGACAAATAATGATGAATTAAAGATGCACCAACTATAGATTTTAGAGATCTCTGAATTTGTGACAAAATTGTTAACTGGCAAGTTTGTTATTTCCTGGAAGTACAAGGAAGGGATGAAAGTCATCATATTAATTTGAGAGGAAACTAACGTTTTGTAAAAAATTCTCTTCTAGCGAAGGAAGCCCGTCCCCCAGAATGGAGCTGCTGCATAATATCGACCCCAACTTTGTGGATATTTCACCATGTGAGTACCTCATTTATCGCTACTAAACTTAATTTCTTTAGCTAGCAAAGCCATTTGTGTTGCCAGGTGTGTCTTCAGCCTTGCTTTCTCCTTTTCCACTTGGGTTTGCTGTCAGGATAAACAGTCTCCACGACACCTGTTGTACTGACCTCACTGGCTTTGGTGCTGTTCTTGGCTCTGCCGCTTACTAGCTTCGAGCCATTTCAGCTCCCTACCTCAGCTTTGCCGTAGGACCTCAGAGGCTCCTGCTCATTGCTCACATTCAACAGGAGCATCCTGTTGTTGCCCTCTTCTCACCTGACAACCCCAGAGTCTTCTTCCAGGAAACCCAAGGTCAGATAAGCCGCCATGTCCTCTGACAGAGCTGGCCACGTACTGCCCAGCACCTGCTGCGTCTCAGAGGTGTGACTTACCTACCAATCGGGGAAGCCATTTGGCTGGACTGTCTCCTGCCTAAGTTAAGCCATAGTAGCCCCATTAATTCTTCAGGGAAAGAGGCCATTTATTCTCTTGGATCACAACAGTCTGTAATGGTCTGGCGCATATTCTAGGCTAGTGGCCCCAAGAACCCTAGCCTAGTGAGTTTGCACCTGGAAAGCCTTAACTCTTAGGCCCTTTGTCCAGCCTCCCCCCTCAAGCCTCATCTCAAGACTCTTCAGAAAACAGTGCTCTTCAATTCCTTTCATTCCCTTAGGTGCTCACATCCCCTCCTTTCTAGACATAGGGCCCCTTAACTCACTTATTCCATCGTTCAGGCTTTCCTTACTTCTTTGTCCTCTCCAGTCTGTGGCACAACCGGCCCCAGGATTTCCCTGCTCAGATGACAACCTGACAGCGGTTGTGTGGCAGGGAGCAGTAGAGGACCACTTGCTCCGCCAGCTGCATCCAGCCCCTCCTTGCCCTGTGAGACACTTACTCTTTCTAAGCATGTAAATTGCCATATTTTGTCTTGAATATGCTTTTCTCTGTAGCTTCAACACCTTTTCTTGCCCTTCCACAATTTTTCCTCATCCCTTAAAACTCAACACAAATGTCCCATATATGTGAATGCTTCTTGGAACCCCAGAAAGTCCTTCTTCAGCATCCTTTTGTATGGATGTACATAAAGCCTTCAGCCAATTCCCTTATATGTGCCTTCATTTCCCATGAAGCTGAGAGCTCCTGGAAGTCAGGGTCTATGCCTTATTTATCTTTCATCCTCACAAGTTAACACAAATACTCAGCACGGGGTAGGCCCTCAGTGATGATTACTTGAAGACTAATGGAGGAATGTTGGGATAGAATTAGGACAAAAGTGGAAGCACTTTTAATTTTAAATTCGGAAAGGAAAGGGCCTGAGGCAGGTCGGGATGGCTATAGCATGGAGAAATTGGTATTTCCGTTGGAGTAACTTTTGTCAGTGAGAGAGGCAACGGTAGCCACTTGTCTATGTGGTAGCCACTAGCCGTGTGTGGCTATTGAACACCTGAAATGTAGCTAATTGTGAATTGAGATGTGCTGCAAGTATAAAATACACATGAGGTTTTGAAATGGGGCTGGTGGGAAGTGCCGAGGTGGCTCATTTGGTTAAGTGTCTCAGTCTTGGTGGTGGCTCAAGTCATGATCTCAGGGTCATGAGATCAAGCCCCATGTTGGGCCCTTGCTGAGCATGGAGTCTGCTTAAGGTTCTCTCTATCCCTCTCCCTCTCCCTCTGTGCCCCCACCCTCCACTCGTGATTGTGTGCTCTTTCTCGAAAGAAAGAAAGAAAAGAAAGAAAGAAAGAAGAAAGAAAGAAAGAAAGAAAGAAAGAAAGAAAGAAAGAAAGAAAGAAAGAAAAAGTTTAAATTCTAGATTTCTGCATAACCCAGCTACAGTACTGCTTGCTGCAGGGTTCCTAGTCAACCTGCTGTGGGTTTCGCTACCTTCCCCGTAGTGCCCCAGCTCAATCCCCACACAGACACCTTGTTTCTCCAGTATAAAAGTTAAGGAGGTCATGGAACTCAGAATAGAGAATGGTTTTAGTTTTGCCACCCATAGATTATAAGCAAGTCCCTCCTTTTCCTGGACTCAGTTTCCCACAGGCTAAATGACGGACTTACAATGACTCTTTACTGCTGTTCCAAATTCAGGGACATTTTCTGGCTTTCTACTGCCCGCACCCCCCCTCCTCAAAATCCACTCCAGGCCTCTCTGTTGGCCTTCTCTGCCCACGAGGGACTCTTGCTCTGACTCCTGCTTGTAATGAAGGACACTGTCCAGCATTGGCATTGACATAGAACCACATTCACTGCTGGTCCACAGAAACAGGGCTTTCATTTCTGTCTCTGCCTGCAACTAGGAAAATGCCCCTCCTCCTCACACATGCACAACACCTTGGACTTCTCTCCCCAATTTTGATATTCATTTTAATCCACTGTGCAGCAGAAGCTGAAAAAAGGGAAGCTCTCTTTGGGGGGCCTGTTCCTTCGCAGGAGGATGATACAAGCTCATTTCCTTTTCTATGCAGTTAAATTTGGGGGCGGAATAAAATCCATCAAGAAGAAAATATGTATTTATAGGAAAACAAGCAAGTCTGTGAATCACTTTTGTAGAATGTTTTGTGAGTATGTTCTAGAGGCTTTATGGCATGAAATCATACTGCGGCCAATCTCAAGTATAAATTGCAGATTGAGCATCGAGTCAGTGTTATCACAGAACTATTTCTTTGGTTTCTAACTCCAGTACTTCTCAGATTGTCCTTACTTATAGCACAAGAGGGTGGTGTTTTACTTCTTCCTTCCCAAAAGCCACTTCACCAGTTTCCTCACCTATGAAGTGAAGATTGAATTAAAAGATGTCTGAAGTCCCTTCCAGCTTCAACATTCTGTGGGTCTCTGCATAAAGAGGATCTCAGAGGAGCAAAGCTGCTGATTCAGTTTCTCACCCTTTCCACCCTGTGTTCATTAATGAGCAGTGATGTAACCAAAGCCATGGTTGTGAATAGATAAATATAAGTGAAAATGTGAGAAATCTTTTAAGTTCTAGGGTAATTAGAATTGTAGGATTTCATTATAACTACATCCTGCCCACTTTTCTGATCCCTGTTCTAACACATCACTGCATTGATCCACTTCTCTATCTCCCTCCTCCCCTTCAGTGGGTCTCGTTGGGGGTTGTGGACCAATGTCTCCTCCTATAATGAATCAGAGGAACAGGCATTAGACGTTTCCCAGGGGAGCCCTACCTTCTAGGTAGTACACATCCCTTCAGAAGCTGGCCTTTAGGGATTTAGCAACTCTACCACCATCCTCTTATTCCAGGAGCACAGGGTGCCCCCAGAGGCCCTTCCTGCTGGTGAGTTTGGGGCTTTTTTCATGGCCACATACCCGTGGTATATTGTGGATTGAGTATGAATAATAAAGATATTCCCCAAAGCCTGAGACAGACACAAGCACACACTAGAAGTTATAGGGTTTCCCAGAGACCCAGAGATTGTGCAGTAAAGCATGAACAGTCTCAAAGAACCACAGATCACACTCATTCAGATGGCTACTATCTAAAGAAAGAACAAAGGAAGGAAGACAACAAGCATTGGTGAGGATGTGGAGAAATTTGAACACTTCTGCGCTATTGGTGGGAATATAAAATGGGATTGCACTGTCAGTGGAATGAAAAGATAAACAAAATGTAGTCTACACATATGATGGGCTACCATTCAGCCTTAAGAAGGAAGGAAGTTCTGGCACATGCTACAATGTGGATGAACCTTGAGAACATTGTGAAATAAGCCAGTCACAAAAAGACCAAGTATTGCATGATTCCACTTACATGAGGTCCCTAGTATAGTCAAAATTTGGAGACAGAAAGTAGACTGGTGGCTGCCAGAGGCTGGAGGGGGTGAGATGGGGAATTAGTGTTTAATGAGTGTAGTTTCAATTTTGCAAGATGGAAAGAGTTCTGTGGGTGGATGTGATGAAGGTTACACAAAGGTGTGAATGTACTTCATGCCACTGAACTGTACATTTAAAAACAGTTAAAATGGTATATTTCATATTTATTTTACCACAATTAAAAATAAATGAAAAATGCAAAACAAAAAAAAAAGCATAGAAGTTCTTGAGGACTGGGTCTGTATCATTTTCATTTATTGCCATATCCCCAGTGCATAGCACGGAGCCTGCATCATAGCAATTTCTCCATAAATACTTGTTAATGAATGTTAATAGATCAACAGCTGAAAGCCATTGTCTCCCTGTCTCTTAGCCTTCCCTGAACCTAAAAGTACCTCCAGATGGCAATTCACACCCACCTCTTGATCCCTGAACTTGCATCTTACATTTTGTTCCTAAATAAAAATAATCTAATTAAGATTAGGAAGTGCCTGGTCTGGTGACCATTAACATTATCATCTACAGCTGCTTGAAACTGCTGGTCCAGTTTATAAATGCCCACCCTCACTCCCCCACTGCATTGACAGTATCAGCCAGCAGGGGTGATGGGAGAGTTTTCCCTCCCTTTCTTCCATCCTTTCTCTAGACCTCCTTGAGAGACAAACATACCTATTTATAAAGTCGCTTCCTTTGTACTTGGCCCAGCCTGACTTCCCCTGTGAGTCCAGGGCACTGCTGCTTCTTACTCTTCTAGAACTTTCTGTTCCCTTCCTGGCAAGTTCCCTTGCCTTGTTTCATTGGTCACTGTCCTCTCAGGGCCCCAAATCTGCCAATGCTTTCATCTCCACCTCACCCCTCACCCCCATGACCAGTGTCAGACGTGTGGGCTGTAATTGCTTTCCTATGTGCTTTGAGGAAGCCTTTTATTCATCTTTAGAGGCTTTGTTCTGAGGTAACCTTGGACAGATGTGTTCTGGTCTCCATTCAGATGCTACCTTTTTTCTCTTCCCTCCTTCCTTTCTAAGAATAGATCCTAAGAATGAGTTATTCCTCAGGTCTTTGAAATATTTCTTTCTAGCAGGCTGACCTTGACTCAGTGTCCTTCTTAAGCAGTACAGGGTAGTCAGTGAAGGAGGCCTGTGAGAACCCAA